CTGGTGAATCGTGTAATGGTACTTTAAATCCGATCCCTGTCTCTTCCCCCTCATATACTTCTTATTTTTACGACTGATCACAGCTATGGGATTTTAACTACAGTATTTGGCCAAACTGCAAGCTAAAATAAATGTATATGTAAATCCTTTTCATGGCCATAGTTAGTGTCTCTATGTATACATATGTAAGAACATAGAGCAGTGAGGTTACATTTGGATTACATTTAGAACTAGGTTGGAGGCTAGTATTTTGTGGTAAACAGCCGGCTGGGTTTCTCCTTTCTAGCTTGGCCATTAAATAGCAGCTCTCCCTCGGTTGAAGTGAAAGCATCTTTGGCTTTATGGGATATGCAGAGCTTTGGCTAAAGCTGAAGCAGAAAAGCAGGCAAAGCTTAGCTCTCTTATTTGGATTAATATCCCCAACACCTGTCTTTGGGGAAATTAATGGGTGTTACTGTAAGCAGCTTTCTTTCTTCCTCAAACCTTTTTTTTGCTGATTTCTTACTTTCTTGACCCCTTCTGCCAGCTCTTTTTCCCTCTCTCTGTTGTCCCTCCCATACTTACCCTCTGTAGATTAATTGCTCAGTGATACCGTATGTTAAGGACTGCTGTGAGTTTCCCTACCCAGCTGTTTGAAAGCAGATTAGTCAGCAGAATTCGTCTGCTTGGTCCTCACTTGCCACTTCTTTATGCACTCCCTCCTTTCTTCTCCCATTCTCCTTCAAGGCTCCTCCTCCTGTCCTCTAACCTTCTCACTCATCTGCTGCTCTCAATTTTCCCTGCTGGCCCTGTCATGATGTGGCTATTTGCTGTTTAATCATTGGTATTCCTGTTGTAGCTTTAGCCATTTATAAATGTTTTAAATTGAAAACAAAAGAGAAGGATATATTTCACCGCATGTGTCAATCATTATCATGTGATATCACCAAAACTGTTCCCAATGAATGAACATATGTCTATCAGTGTTTATACACTCATGCTGCACAAGCCAGTGTTAATATCAACGGAATCAAATATAAAAGATATTATGGTATTATGTATTTGGTCTGGTTAAAATAAGCCAAACTACAGGAGTTCAAGCTCCCAAAATATTTTAAGTTTAGCTGCTTTTAACAACACTTCAATCTGGCCTCGTGAATACATGATCTGTGATTATTTTTACTCACTATTAGTAGTAACTACTGTACAGGGAAAGTGTTAAGTGCAAAGCAGCCAAAGCAAAGTTGCATTACGGCAGGTTCCTGGTTTAGTTGCATTCCCACCTACCTAGGATCATTTGCTTGGCAGATACTTCCCCTTTGCTGTGTCTTTTCTTACTGCTTCTGTCAAGACTAAGGAAGTGAGATGAAGGGAAGGAGGGAATGAAAGCCAGAGAGCTTATTATATACATAAATCACTTCCTGGAAGGAGGGTATGTTGTTTCATTGCTAATGGATCTCTGCCACTTCTCTGTAAATCATGCTACACATCCAGGCTACTAGGAGGCAAGACTCCAATGATAGAAGACATTATTCTGTTGCTTTCTACTTAGTTGTCCTCCTTTCCTCACATCTCCTTCTCTTGTAGGGATTTGGGGTAATTGCAAAACAAGCAATATTTGGGTTACTGCTCTCCTTCGTGCCTCTTTCCTCTTTGGGTAAATGGGCACTTACTCAGCTCGGTGGGGGTGGCATTAATCCCTGGCGCTGACCAAAGTCAGACAGAGTTCATACCTGAACGGGCAGCCATAATATCTGCTTGTCCTTGTAAGCTATTTCCTAAAACAATAGGAAAACCAGATCTAAATTCATGCTATTGTCACGGATAAGACTGAATGTCAAAACTCGATATCATTGAAAGTCCAGCCTTTTTTTCTTATTAAGTCCAGACTGGTAGGAGTTTTTTCTTATGCTAATGTAATCAAGGACACCATGTGAATGAAGGCAAAAACGTCATGATGTCACATAAAGAAATGCATACGTTTTCAGTTACAAGGTGAGTCTGATGCACTGGAGTAAGTCTGAAATGAAATCTGAGCATCTTTATAGAGAGAGTCTTAGGATCTGTGTAATCAATATTCGTTTCAGTGAACAGATGATCTCCTTATCTTGTATCCAGTATTCCTCTCAGTGCAATTCACTTTCTGCAATTTGCCATCTATAGTGTTTGCTAGCATGTTGAGAAGATCATGATTGAATGTTTAACATAAGGGAGCCCAGATTAGCAGTAATTCATATATAGAAATGTTCTCAACACAACTTTGTAGTAATTCCATTGTTGGCTTTTGTATATAAGATAAGATGAGATAGTACTTTATTGATCCCAATTTGGGAAATGTTTACGTAATATATACCTGCTGCCATTAGTAACAAAAAACAAATGCCTGTTAATTAAAATGTTTAAGCAGTGTTTACCGTGTGTGTTCTGAAGCAATATATACATTGAGATTAAATTCCCTTGGGTTAGGCTTGCTGTTCATTTACTCCTTAATATTTCAACTTGTATTTTTCCTTTTCCATGTGAATCACTGTGAGCTCTGTGTTCTTGATTGTGTGACTGCAATTCTTCAACCATAGTGTTTTCGGAACCTTTTTGTACCCCTATAATTTCCTTACTTAGCTTATGATTGTCTCTGCAGTTAGGTTTGTGGAGCCAGATTCATTCAGTAGTGTATAGCTTGCTGCTTTTTAAAGGTTGACGTTGATCCTAACCCAATTTGCCTGCTCTCTGTGCGGGGTGACTTTGGCTTTGTGCTCCTAGGCTCCTGACTCCTCATGCTTCACTAGCCTCACTGCAGCGATTGCTAAAATCCCTCAGCCGGAAAAAGCTTCATTAGAAGGGGGAGATAGTTAATGAACTCTGATCCCATGTCTACATCTTACATCGTGGCTTCACTTTCACTTTTTCCAACTTCGCAATCCCTCAACTCTCTTTACCTTTAGACACTCTTGCCAGTCCTTCTGTCGCACATACCTACATTTGAGATGCCAGTTGTCTGGACCTTTTTCAGCTAGAAAAAAGGAAAAGGGTGACAGTAAATCATTTGTAGCCACCCCTACAGCCTTACCCATTATTACTCTGCAGACAGTCATAATGGTAACTTTCTTAAATGAGATGTTTGAGCTGCAGGAGAAATAGCTACCGTTTCGATGCATGGCCCTTTCTTAAGTTTAGTTAGGGATTTTTCTCTCCCAGATCCTGAAAAGTGTGAGGGATAAAATGTTTGATTGTTTGTATTAACCACGTAATTTGTACCCTAAAAAAATGCATTATATCCTTTAAAAATGCTAAATGATTCTCCTCACATAAAAAATGTGTTCTATGAGTTGTGTTTTTATGCCTCCAAATTACGATACGTTATTTTTGTAGTAAACTGCACACTGTGTAAACTACACAGCTGGCCTGTTGCTGACAGCTGTGTGTAAGTGATGAGTTAAATTATGCACACGCAGTCTTCATGTCGTATTTTGGTTTGGGATGGGTACCATTATTTTATTTTCCCAGAAACTTCATTGAGGCTGTCATTTAGTTTGGGACTAGATTAGATTTTCGGACTGCATGGAAATGAGGATGAATAAATGCATTCAAATGTGAATCTATCAGGACACGAATGTAGGCTATAATGAGGGAGTTTAGTGTTGACAGTGCAGAGTGATTAATACATGGATTATATTTGTTGGAAAGGTGTGGAAAATACATTGTTAATAATATTTAGTGTTTTTAAAAATGGAAAAATATTTATGCTGTGGATCACATAGACAACAAGGATATGGCAATTACATATTCCAAAGACAGATTGCTGTATGCTAATGTTTTAACAAGGGGAACTTAGTTGTAAAAGGATAACCTTTTGTTCTGCTACTTCACTGTGAAGCTCTGAAAGTGCTCTTGGCTACCAATTAACACTTTTGTTGCAGACCCTCGTTTTGGAAAACCATTCTTTGTGCAACCTTGTTTTGCAAAAACATATTCCACTTTACAATTAATGACATGCTTTGAGAAAGCANNNCACTAACCAGGCTTCGTGTGATTCTGTTTATTTGTACCTTACTTTGACCATCCGTTCACTGTTATTGATCATTGTGGAGAGAGGCAGACGTTTTGTTTTGTATTATAGCAGCTATCGGATGGAATCAATACATGGGCTGCACAGGTTGTCGTGTCCGACTATCACAAGTAGAATCATAATAAAAATACGCCGGTAAAATGTGCCTGTTGAAAACGGTTTATGCCACAATAGGATAGCAATAGCAAGTAGTCAGCTTAGCTAACATCACCCATTTTATACCAGAGAAACTTTCATAACAGCGTTGTGATGCCAAACAGCGTCAATTCAGACTTACACTGGCGGATATGTATCAGCTTGTGTGACAGTCGGACAGTGAATACCTTAGAGCGGCCGCTGCAGTGTGAGCTAACCGGGAGCTAACGGGAGAATAAACTCCCGTGGAAGAGCAGCCAGCACTGCTGCGGTCGGTAAATGCCGCTGAAACACATTAATAAACAATGAACCACGGCACTCTGGAGAAGTATAGCTTGGAGAAGTCGTTATTTAATTTAATCTGGCTTCGTGTGATTAAAAGCAACACGATCATCGACCTGACGCAGTCCCCCATTGTTGTTGTTGTTGTGAGCGCCGTAACGTCGTTGGGGAGCAAATCAGCGATGTAAACGTTGACGTCATGACGCAGCAGCGGCTGCACCAGTCGGGCTCTGGGCGGTGTGAACAGAGCAGGAGCAGAAAAGGGAAACCGGAGCTGAACCAGAAAAGCTCTAGCTCGGAGCTAGAAAGGGAAAAGCGCTGGTGTGAAAGCCGCATTAGAGTATGTAAGCTGCCTTGTGTTGCGACATAAATGTATACAATTATGATTGTCATACCTCTCCGAAGGTTAACACGTGCTGTATTGCTGACTTGTATTTACTTGTGTAGCAGTGTAAGCTGCCTCAGTTGCTGGTGTGTCATTCAAAAACAGGGTTGTATGTGATGGGGGAGGAGGAAATGTGTCACAAATCATCACAACACAATATCACAAAGGAAAACTACCATGACACTTAGCAGAATGGAAAATGTCCTCACATTTTTTTTTAAATACATAGCATGTTAACACTCTTGATTATGTAAAAAAACAAACACTAAATTAATTTATTAGTTTCACCTGGTGTTTATAGACTGTATATCGGTCTAAACAAATCCAAGCCTGTTCGGTTAATAATCACTCCTCCAAAACAATTTAGCTTAGTTAAACGATTGTAAGAGCTAGCTAAACTAGCTTTCGCTAAGTCACTCATGACAATATTTGTATGCTAGCTGTTAACACTCGTTTTTATTTTACAAGACTTTACTGCCTAGTCCCTCCTGAAACCAATTAAAATGTGTAATGTAATGTTTTTTTTTTACTTGACTAAAGCTAACTACAAGGCTTTTAACTAAAACCATAGCTGTTAGCAATACAAGTGTTAGATCACATTGACTTGACCTATGCTAACAAGCACTTGTTTCATGCTAGTAATCAAGCATGTCCTTTGTCAGAAACATTATACAATAGGCTACATATGAATAAATAGTATTAGCCTCTTTAAGCATCCTGTGTGTTCGAGACAGATTCTGCTAGCTTGGCCTTTGGTTATTATACAATATTTGTCCTTCAGAAATACAGTACATTCTGCCAATTATATACATCACTGTGACAGGCTTTGCTCACTGCCTTGACCAAACAAATGAAACACGCTTACCAAATTTCTGGTAACAAGCATTTTCTTAAAACATGGAAATATTTCAAGGAATTCCCTCGTAAAGCAAATATGCATCCATCTCACCTGACCAACTGTTTTTTCATTAGAAGTGCATGGCACCGTGATGAACTTGTGCACTAGAAATCCTATAAATACTAGTGATATATGTATATATATAAAAGGGAAGCCATAGAGAATATTATATAGCCATAAAATTAAGAAAAATAACTGTATTTTGAATTTAGCAAATAATATTCTGTGATACTGAAGCTCTCATGATGTCAGTGCAATAAATCAAGAGGAAGAAGAGGAGCCGCAGGGACGAAGGTTTTAGAAGCATGTCTTGATTTAGTTGAAATTCATAAAAAAACGAATCCCTTTAAGATCTGTTTTTGATATTATCACACTCACATTTGAATAGAAAAGCCCTAACTCTGACGGGAGAGGTGGACAAACTATTGAGAACTAGAACAGAGTTATACTTTAAAGAGTAACTTAACACTAAAACCAGTTAAATAAGCATAATTGTATCATACTATTAATTGATTGTCTTTAGTGTTAAGCTGTTTTGAATCCTTTTTTCTGGAGCAATATTGAGTAAATATGTAATCTAGAACAAAAATAATACAAATGTGTGTTGCTGTCTTGTGCTCTGTGCACCCAAAAAGTACAAGGCAGAATCAGAAATCAACGGTTTGAAGAGGTCTTTTTTTATTCCTGACTGCCAAAGACGCTGGAAACCAAGACATTAATGTAAATGCAGTTTTGGGTGTCATACATTCCTAGAACCTCAGTTGTAACTTCAAACGAGGTGGAGAATGTAGGAAAGATAGTAGTGAAACTCAAGAAATGAAACACCCCCTTTGATTACAATTGAGAGGGAAAATGTGGGCCTTTATACGAGAAAAGGACTGAGCAAGTTACAAATGTGGGCGCCGTTCAGTCTGCAAGTCAACATGCAAGAGCAAAATCAATTTAAGCACCTAACCTCTCCTTTCTGTCTGCCTTCTAAAAATGTTTGTTTTTTGTGTGTTGTTTACCTACCTATACAGACAGATATACATTTATTTGAGTCCAGATGTAATGTCAAATCTATGGGGCGAACTGAAACACGCTCTCTTGCAGGAATTTTCGTACTCGCTCAGTTCTTTTCGTCACTTATTTATTTAAAGGGAGTTATTATCTGTTAGAGCTTTAACAGAGTCTCAAGTTGCTCTTTAAACCAATAGAATGTTCTTGAATTAAAAAGTGGCCAGTATGTCCTGCTGAAGTTCCCCTGAGCAAGAAGCTGGACCCCGGGGAAGGCCGTCAGCTAACTGAATGAATTATATCAAGACAACGTTGATGTAGCCGCTATAGCACTTTAAGTTCATGCTGCTGAATATTATATGTTACTTTTGTGTCAGTACTGTATTTATGTATGAATGTGAACAAGGGAATGTCAGTCTGTACAGATGTACTCTATAACAACATGCATATCAGTGTTTTAATGTACTCTTGTCAATAAATACAAAAAAAACAAAAAACAAATACAGTAAAAAAAAGATGTTTGGTTCACTTTGTGTAGATTATCAATTTGTAAAGAAGCAAAGGCACAAGACCTGAATCGCCCTAGACATAAAGGCAAAAGGTGTTCAATCTTAAAATCACCACTCTCACAAGGCAACAACTCAACGATTTACAGTAGAGCAAGTAATGACCAGACCTGAGAGGAAAACACAGGTTTTCAACAATTGAGATCTTTTCAAATGCATTTCTGTTAAGTCAAATGTTACTTAAGAAAAAGTAAAAAAAAGTAGTAGTATCAAAATACATAAGTAACAAAACCAAAAGTACTTATTATGCAGAATAAGTTGAACATATTTTTGCTTGAATAATTGTAATTTGCAAAGTAACTAGATTTCTTTGTGTGAAAAGTATTTGACTCGAGAATGTATTGAATTATAATTATAATGTGGCATTAAATGGTAACAATCAAGTAAAGTACATTGATTATAGTACCTCAATTAGGCACTTAACTACATTACTAGTATGTGTACCTTCCACCACTGAAAATAACCATCCACTGAACTAATCATGGTTGTGAAATTGTATCTGTCTGTAGGATCATACAGAAGGACCAGAAATGAGCACAGAATGTCAGATCTTTAGCCTTGTTCTCTATTTTTAAGTCAGATTTTACCTATAATTGTGCTCGGCATTCAGTTTGTATTTGGACTGCGTTTTAAATCTGATGTTTGGAAGTCTTAGAGGAAGGATTTAAAAGAGAGATATGTTTGCTATAGGCGCTGTATAGTTTGGGCTTCAACTGACACTATCAGGAAAGCAGTATGAAAATAATATTTTAGACTTCTGTAGGTAAAGTGGATTGGAACAAAAGTATTAATAATCTATAAGGATTAATCAGAGAGGACCCCCTGCCAAGGCCTTTTCTGTAAGTGCAAAAATTGTGTGCATTTGCCACTGTTTCTGATCCATTCCAAAATATTATGGGTTACAAGGACTCAAAAGTTGCATACAAAATCAGGGCAGTAGTTTCACGTAATCCTGGTGACAAACAGACAAATAAATAAACAACTGTGGTTGGATCTATTAAAAAGACTGAAATGCTGAAATGGAAAGCCCTGCCCCGTTAAACTGCATAGGATCCATCCTCTGAGGGACATGAGTGTCTGTACAACATTCTAAGGCAATCCATTTAAATGTTTTTGAGGAATTCAGTCAGGTCTAAAGTTCTGGGCCAACATAAAAACTGACATTCAGACGGACCCTGCCATCTTTGGGGCATCACTGCTAGCATGGTTTAAAGGGCGTATTTTTTTTAGAAAACCTTGTTTTTACTCCAGCAAAGAGTTATGTTCTGTTATGTTTAAAAAATATTGTACAATTTTAGTAAATAAGCAAAACCAGCAGTTAGTTTGCTAAATACCTGATAAGCACTGTATCTCAACTTTCGCAGGTAGTAAGTACATATTTCATGGTCCACTCAAGTTGTTAAGGCCTACCCAAAAGGGCAAATTAAATAATGATTAAAGGTTATTTCCCTGAAAGTAGTGTCCAACCCAGGTTTAGATTCTCATGTTCCGTCTGGTTGGAGGTCAGACAGAGTTGGGAGTGTTTCTGGTGTACATTTTCTCCCACACCACCGTGCTGCAAACGCAGAAGAAGTCCCACAGGTTACAGATAACTCCGCGGTCAAACGGGTTCTCCTCGTCACTGAAGTTCTTCAGGTAGGAGATCCTGTGGCGTGACATGAACTCCCAGGTGGTGCAGCTGATGGAGACCAGGTACAGGTGGCAGCCCAACAGCAGCATCACCACCATGGAAAAGACCCCCACCACACCCAGCGCCGCCAGCAGGAACCCGTTCACTCTGAACCACTGCTCCCAGGTGAGGGTGGGGGTGATGCCAGACCTGGAGGACAAAAACAAATGTTCAGGTGAATCACTATTGTCTTTGGGGTTGTTCTCTGCCCTGATCGAGGTCTGGCAGGCTGAGTGTCTTGCCAAGCTGTGTTCAACACCGATCCTGTACCTGCCATTCACCTCAACCAATTAACTGGTTATGTCTCTCCTTTTCTTCAATTAAACGTAACAGGCCCTACTCACTGAGGTTTTATTTAAAATTGAATACATCTGTTCTTCCATGCATATGCACTTCATGTCCTTTCATTGTTAAATTATGCTGTTTTTTTTTCTAAAGAGGCCATATAATGCTTATTTTCAGATTCATATTTGTAATTTGTGCCTCTGCTTTGACATGTTTCCATGCTTTAATGTTCAAAAAGCTCTTTATTTTTCTCATACTGCCTGTGCTGCAGCACCTCTTTTCACACTGTCTGAAACCAGAGCCCAGTCTGCTCTGATTGGTTAGCTGGCCAGCTCTGTTGTGATTGGTCAACCACTTAGAGATTTGCCTTCCCTTAGCCTTTACATTTAGTTGTAGTTAGCTAATAGAAGCGCCAGTGTTACATAGGGTGGAAGAGAAAACACCCTCTGGAGGGAACTTTAGCCGTTGCAGACCATTTACAAATAACTATCTACCACCCTACAGCAAAGGGAAACCCCAAAAAGTGCAATCTTTAACGAGCACAAGGTAGGTTCAGTGTTCAGCAGACATACAGAGCGATGTCTAGCGCCCACAGCAGAGCGAGCAGCTGCACCAGCAGGTAGACGATGAACCAGCGGTGGTTCCTCTCTCCCACACAGTTCTCGATCCAGGGGCAGTGGTGGTCGAAGCGACGGACGCAGCGCTTACACATCTGACAGTGCTTCGCTCTCATTGGCTGCTGCTTAAAAATGTGTAAGGGAGAGAGAGAGACAAGTTGTATTGTAACTGGGAGAAGTCAATCCACTATTCAAGAAGGAGATGTAGGTATGGAAGGATATAAGCAGCATGTCAAAAATATTTCAGTGTCTTTTCTCCTTTAAAGCCTGATTGAGTGCACTGATCTTAAGCTTGTAAGAGTTATTTTTTTGTAAAACTTAAACATAAATAGAATAATTAAATAATGAATCACTTATCTTAAAATATTGACTTAGTATCTAAAAAATATTGACTTAGTATAGTAAAATATCACTTAGGGTAAATAATGACAGTTTCTCAAAACAATAATAAACCGTTTCGTTATATTGACTTAATATCTCTAAATAATGAGGAACTGTTTCTTTATATTGACTTAGTATCTCAAATGATAACTTAGCTTCTTTACATTATGACAAACAGGGTTGTTCTCCCATCACATTGGTAGAAATGGTCTTCCACACATCATCATGCCAAAGGTTGACTAGTTGTTCTATCACAGTCAACATGTTGTCGGATTGAATTTTTGCCCAAGTTACACTATCAATACAAATCTTTCAAAAAAACCCATTTAAATACAAACAGACAACGATAATATAACATGTAAGTCTTGAGCATTTCAACACAGCAAGGTGATATACATAATCTGTGTTTGAGTTAGACAGATTTAAAAATGAGATGAACAAAGAGTATAAAAACATGGGACTTTTCAGACATGTAGAAAACAAACTGATGGTGAACTCCAGATGCTGATGAACGGTGTGAGTTGGTGTCAGCTGGTTACCTGCAGCAGGCAGTATCCACAGCGCCTCAGCCGAGGGGTCAAAGACTGAGGAATCATTGATTCCATTTCCTCATTTGAACCCTGAACGCAACACAGAATGACGTGGGTCACACATGAACACACACAAATATGCACACTCTGACCTAGACAGGACTTTCTGTCATTTAACTGCACGTAGCCTGTTTACCTAAAATCACCTTACAGCATTGCTGTCCAATTTCTGAGGTACAGTAAGGATTTCTAGATTAACTCCTTTAATCTACGCAGCTCAGAAAATCTATTTCCACAGACTTTAAAACATGTGAAAGGTAACAAGATGTTCCATTATAGAGCACAGCTTGACTTGTTTTTCTGTTAGAGTTGCATTATAATTATTGCATCATCATGTGGGATCTTTTAAGCTCCATTTAAGACCTGAGAGTCTGATGATGACAGTAAGCATTATTGCTTTTTAAGGTGTGTGTTAGTTAAACTCACCTTGACAGAGTCAGTGAGAATGAAGCCAGGGTCCATTAAAGAAACAGCAAAGTATAAGAGCACTGAGAGCGCGACCAGGAGGAAGAAGAGGAGCGGCAGCAGCAGCTCTCCTTGCTCCTCACATCTCCGCAGATCTGCAAACACACACCATAGAGATAAACTAGCATAACCTAAATAGAGTGCTGCAATAAGACTATTAGTGATTTCATGCAATAGTTAATCCAACCAACAGTTGGATTATATGACCTAGAACAGTCTGATAACTTCAGAAACTTGTAAATAGAAATTAAGACCAGGAAATTACAACATTAAATCATAAAAATGTAACAATAACCAAACACCACAATGATATATGGTAGTCTCTTGCATATGTGTAATTTATTTTAGAAACTAATACGGTTAAATAGGGCTTAACTTCTTTTTAATTAAACAAATGGCTAAAGGCAAACAGTAGGGCAGATAGAACAGTCTAGTAAGCCAAGAGAAATGACACCACTTTAGTATTATGGAGCCTTTAACATCAGAAAAAGAATGTGTGGCATATTACGATGCAACATGTAAGAAGAGATATATCTAGTTTGATATCAACCTATTTTAAATAATGTGGAGTTTCTTTCTAACATCGAATTTTTAAACTTTTAATACTTAAAGGTGGGGTATCTAATTTTGGAGAAACCAGTTTGAGTGCGCTATAATTTGAAAATACACAGCCGGAAAAAATCTGCCACTTCCTTACAGAGCCCCTCCTCCAACACACACGAACGTGCACATTACCAATGAGGGCACGAGATAAGTTTGTGCCTTTATATATAGAGTGGCGAAGTCATGCCCATCTACTTCCGGTCCATTGGACCTTATCACGGAAAAATGATGTATTGAAGTCAATGGAGAGAGAAAACTTATCTTTCGATCCCGTTTGAATTGTGCCATGAATTACACATATGATGTTTGTCAATCTTAAAAAAATATTTCCATGTCAAAAAAGTCACAGTTTGTCGTAAAACTGTTGAAATATAAGACTATGAAAAATACGTAACTAGAAAGACTACATATCCCAGAGTCGCATAAGTGATGTCACAATTGTTTTCCTCCACTAAGAGATAGTTAAGATCAGCGCCATATAGATAGAATCTATCTATTGCCTTATTCACACCAACGGTGTTTCAGGGCCGGTTCGAAGCTGGAGCTTGAAAAGCACCGGGTTTTCCTGTTCACACCGCGGTGGAACAGCCTCTTAGCTCCGGAATCCGTTTAGTTTCAAGCACCAAAACATTGTGCGGCCAGAGCAAAAGCACCGCATACGTCACGCTTACGTCGAGGAGGGGCGGGATCGACTCCTGAACAACAACAAAAAGCCGGCGTTTTATCCAGTTTGTACACAACGATGGAGAAACTTAACAAGCAGCAGTGGTCCACTGAAGAGACCAGCTACCTACTGGGAATCTGGTCTTCCGAAGAGGTACAGAGGAAGCTGGAGCACAATCGGCCATTGTTGTTGTTGTCGGTGTCAGCTGTGAGGGGTTTCCGCGCGCTTTGGCTTTATGAAGCAGGCACGCAAACGGTTACGTCATGACGCAAACGATGACGCAGCACCAGTCGGACTCTGGGCGGTGTGAAAAGAGTCGGAGCTAAACCGAAGAACCGGTTCTGAACCTGAAAAGCTCTAGCGCGGAGCTTGAACCGGAGTTGCGTCGGTGTGAATGAGGTATATATGGCGCTGGCTAAGATAAGATAACTTTAACAAGATGCCTGTGTGTTTAGTACCAGGTTGTTATCATACCAGAAATGGGTCTTGCTCGTTCTTTCGCTTCACGTCTGATGAAAGGACCAGGAGTGGCTGGATCAAGTTAGCTACCTAGCTAGTAGCTAGCCAGTTAGTTAGCATTACAGCCTTGTCATTTTTATTAGCCTTAATATGAAGTAACATTAAGTCACCCAAAATGTTAAACAGTAAGAGTAGTAGTCATATTTCCTGAACCCTTTGAAGAGTACTGTCACCGGTGTGATCATTCTATAATGCACAATTTAAGGATTCCGGAGCTAAGAGGCTGCTCCGCTGCGGTGTGAACACGAAAACCCGGTGCTTTTCAAGCTCCAGCTCCGAACCGGCCCTGAAACACTGTTGGTGTGAATGAGGTAATAGATAGATTATATCTATATGGCGCTGATCTTAGCTATCTCTTAGTGGAGGAAAACAATTGTGAGATCACTTACGCGACTCTGGGATTTGTAGTCTTTCTAGTTGCGTATTTTTCATAGTCCTATATTTCAACAGTTTTACGGCAAACTGTGACTTTTTTTACATGGAAATGATTTTTTTAAGATTGGCAAACATCACGTGTAATTCATGGAACAATTCAAACGGGATCGAAAGATAAGTTTTCTCTCTCCATTGACTTCAATACATTATTTTTCTGAAATAAGGTCCAATGGACCGGAAGTAGATGGGCGTGACTTCGCCAGGCCGTTTCTCAATCTCGAGGATACTGGCTTCCAAGCTAATATTTCAAGGATGCTACATCATTGAGTGCCGCCGAAGGACTGTTCCAATCCAGTGTGAGAAAAAGTTTTTAGTGAGTACTTGTCCATGGACAAGAGACTTTGGCAATTTAATTGTCCGAATACATTTTTCACTTGTCCAGAATGGACAAAAATTGGGGCCACGGAATCTTCTTCTTCGCCATCGTATTTTACATTTCCCACGTTTTTTACGACACCGCTAACGTAAGTGAACGGTAAGATTTTACTGCATCACACATAGGGTTGGGTATCCTTTGGATTTTAACGATTCCGGTTCTGCTTTACGATTCCGGTTATTTTTGGTTCTCGATTCCGGTTCTTTGAGAGGGTAAAAATAAGTCCCATGACAAACTGGGAGAAAAATATATTCATGAAAACATTAACAATCTCTGCATTGTTTAGTTAGTTCTAAGCAGTGCAGTTTGAGAATGTACAATTGGCCCAGTCTCCTCTGGTGTTACACTGCAACCTGCCTGTGAGACAGAGTCCAACCACACATGTCCAACACATAGGCCTAATAATAATAATAATAATACATTATATTTATAGCCTATAGGCCTAACGCTTTTCTACAACTCAAAGACGCTTGCACGCTTACACATTTCCTGCAATACACATACTGCAGCTGCCCAGCTGCTCACTGTTTGTAAAAGTAAATAAATATTATTTTCATTTCAATAATGTACTTTCTATACCCTGCTTCATAAACAATACTGACATCCCTGTGCTCCTCCGAGTCTGGGGGTCCGGGGATGTGAGTGCAGCCCGAGGACACAGACAGGGAGGCTGCTTTACTTCATAAAGGACATGGCGTCAATATTAACAACACAGGAGCTAAAACGCTTAATAACCTTCATTACGTGTTAGAGAAAGAAAATAAGACAGTTTAACAAAGATGAGGCTGTTAAACGGGCAGCGGATCCGCTGTGCGTAGAAAGAGAGAGAGAGAGAGGGACCGGGAGACGCTGAGCTGCACCATGCAGCGATCAGCTGATCCGGAGCATAGAGAGAGAGAGCTGCGGGACTCGGCCTCGCCTCCCGTCCTCACAACTCTTATTAATCCCGGGACCGGACAATTGTTATTTGTTCCTACTTGGAACCGAGTTTTGCTTCCCAACCCTGCCTCTGTGCTTCCCGCCCCGCCCCCGTCTAAAAGCGGCGAGATGTTTTCCTTAGGAATCGACTAGCAGAACCGAAACTAATATTTCTAAACGAACAATGGCGGACACGTACAATTTGCGAATGAGTTCTGCCTTTTGTAAACTGAATTTATCAATAATTTGTCAATAAATGAGGGCGAAAAATTTCACTTGTCCACCGGACAAGTCAATTGAAAGATCTACTTGTGCGATACTGTAAATAACACGTCCCGGACGGTGGGACGTGTACTTTTTCGCACACATTCTGACAGTTAATTGCAGGCCTAAAAAATACATTTCTACCATTTGAAATTCCATTCCAGCTCATGCATGCATTATCTTTAAATGACAATTAAATATATATTGTAGAATATTTTTAATATGTACAACTGTAACACATTTGTGTGGTCCACACGCCAAAAGATGCAAGGACGAACCTCCAAAGACACAATAGTGTACGGAAGACATGATTCTATAAAAGGTTGTAGGTTCAACTGGGCCTAGTTTGGAAACATTACGTTTTTCAATATCTCCTCTAGGTTGTCAAAATGTTTCAGTACAAACATGATTCACTATAACGTTTGTGGATGGATCAAACACAAACAACAACTCTCTGAAATAATCTATTTCTTCCTAACAGTCCTTCAGACCTTTGTTCTCAACAAACATTCAAAACCCTGAAAGAGCCGATAACTGTACTGTATCCTTGAAAAACCTGAGCTAATCACACTCACACTCTGGCAGCCCCGAAATATCAGGTGCCCTCATATATCATTTATTTTGTGCTTTTGTGTGTGTGTGTATGTATGTGTGAGCAAAGAGCATGTCAGTCTAACAAAAGTACAAAGGTGTTTTGCAGTGAATGTAAAATTAATTAATAAAGAACAGCAGGGGCAGATAACTCACGTAGCTCCTTTCTTTCATAAATGAAATTACCGGCATGAGAAAGCCATCGTTCCAGGGAAACTAGGGGTGGATGCGGGTTCATTCATGATGGACAGGAAGAAGCAAACGTTGTTGCTTTCTCAAAGCATGTCATTAATTGTAAAGTGGAATATGTTTTTGCAAAACAAGGTTGCACAAAGAATGGTTTTCCAAAACGAGGGTCTGCAACAAAAGTGTTAATTGGTAGCCACTGAGACTGCCAAGGCACACANTTGGAGCAGGAGTTCAAACAAAGCACAAGCATCATTCAGTTTAAAAGGATTCAATCACCTCTCTTCATTCTCATAGTTTTTCAAAAAAGTGTTTCTGTACATCCTTTTAAACTGAATGATGCTTGTGCTTTGTTTGAACTCCTGCTCCAAACCATTCCATAACATCACCCCACAGATTGTTATACTCATACTTCTCAGAGTTGTTCTGATCTTGAGTTGTTTAAAATGTAGATTTACTTCTCAGAGTTGTTCTGATCTTGAGTTGTTTAAAATGTAGATTTCCTCTCAAATTATACCCACCCTCTCTGTCTACGAACAATGTTTTTAATTTCCTAAGTTGATTGTTGAGTCAGAGCAATCAGATTGATGTAAAACCCAGAGCTGCGCAGAGGTGGGAACAATTATTTAGATCTTATACTTAAGTAAAAGTACCAGAGTGTAGGAATACTGTTACAAGTAAAAGTTGTGCATTCAAAATTTTATTCAAGTAAAAGTAGACATGTATTAGCATCAAAATATATTTAAAGTAACAAAAGTACTCATTGTGCAGATTGGTCCATTGATCATGAAAGTGTTCTCAAAGCTGGTAAAGGTGCAGCTAGTTTGAATGACTTTGTATACTGCAGGGTAACTTGTGGATTTACTCCAGGTGTAACGAAAGTCTGATTTAAGACTTAAATTATTATTATATTGTATTATATTTCACATCATTCATCCACATCTGTAAATTAACTAAAGGTATTAAATACATACAGTATAGTGGAGAAAAAGTACACTATTTACCTGGAGGGGTAAAAGTACACAGTAGCAAAAAGTTAATATACTCGAGTAAAGTACAAGTACCTCAAAATTGTACCTATAAGTACAGTACTTGAGTAAATGTACTTAGTTACTTTACACCACAAAGCTAAGGGGTGGGGATATACGCTTTAAATAATAAGATCAAAGTGTGATTTACTGCAGCAGTATATAGTTGGCTTATATATTACCTGATCTAGCAATCTTACATTTTACAGGACTTCTTTCTATTGACCTCCTCCTAACAATGGTCTGTCATACATAGCAGTGGTCTGCTATAAAGTAATAACAGACCGTAGAATGTCAACATTGGCCAATCAGAATCGAGTAATCAATAAAGATATGTAACAATCTGGGGTAACACGCAGTCCCTGAAGTGGCTGCAGAAGTAAACATCATTTCCTCCATGACCTTTCAGGGGGCTCTGCACTTTTTTTGACATTTATATACATTTAAAAAAATATATATATAATTCATACCTTAATTCATTTTGAGCTTTTGCCTCAAGGTATCTCTGTGGTTACTTATGTTGTAACAGCTGGAACACAGATGTTAACAGATTGAGTGTGTTGAGTTTCTATTAGGAATGTATTTTAGAAACTAAGCATATTTCCCTGATGGAAAGGTAAATAATACAGATATTTGGAAGCTATATTAGATGTATGTGTATTTGAAATAATGCCACATGGACGTTGGCAGTAACTGCACTCTGTTGTCTCTGAATGCCTCTTTGTTTGCCCAGCAGGACAGTCGACTGCACAGCCAAGGCGTGCATGCGTGTGTGTCTGTGTCTGTGTGTGAGGACTTTGCTCTCTGCTGAACAGGACTCGTGACTCTGCTCCAGTTCCAGCTCATTATTCTGACAGAGATTTTCCAGACTGCTAATCTAACCTCCAGGAGCCTGGCTGCTCTGTAGGGCCACTCGGTGTAATCATTGATTACACTAAAGCACATTTCCATATACAGTAGTCCTTTATACAATCACATATATCACAGAACAATATTTATTCTACTTTTATATTGTATTGTTTTTTACTGTATGTTTCACTTATTTTTAAAGTAGGATTAACAGTTCATTAGTTTAGATGGATTTGCATCTCTATACTAATAGGCACTTTTCTCTCAATGGTTTTACACTACTATGGGTGATTTACAGAGTGATGTTAAGTAACTAAGTACATTAAGCTCAAGTTCTGTACTTAGGTGTAATTTTGAAGGACTTGTACTTTACTTGAGTATTTCAATGTTATGCTACTTTCTGTACTTCTTCTCCACTACAATTCAGAGGTGAATAGTGTACTTTTACTACTTTTTAACACTTGTGTGTTATGTAGCTTTTTCTGCATGTAAACGGTTTGCAGATACCTCATTCACACCAATGCAACTCCAGTTCAAGCTCCGCGCTAGGGCTTTTCAGGTTCAGAACCGGTTCTTCGGTTTAGCTCCGGCTCTTTTCACAACGCTCAGAGTCCGACTGGTGCTGCGTCATTGCGTCATCGTTTGCGTCATGACGTAACCGTTTGCGTGCCTGCTTCATAAAGCCAACCCGCTCGGAAACCCCTCACAGCTGACACCGATAACAACAACAACAATGGCCGATTGTGTTCCAGCTTCCTCTGTACCTCTTCGGAAGACCAGATTCCCAGTAGGTAGCTGGTCTCTTTAGTGGACCACTGCTGCTTGTTAAGTTTCTCCATCGTTGTGTACAAACTGGATACAACGCGGGCTTTTTGTTGTTGTTCAGGAGTTGATCCCGCCCCTGCCTCTGCCTCCACGTAAGCGTGACGTATGCGGTGCTTTTGCTTGAGCCGGACAATTTTTCGGTGCTTGAAACGAACCGGATTCCGGAGCTAAAAGGCTGCTCTGCTGCGGTGTGAACAGGAAAACCTGGTGCTTTTCAAGCTCCAGCTCCGAACCGGCCCTGAAACACCGTTGGTGTGAATGAGGTAAAATTCACAAACCCTCAAAGTACACCCTGTACTGTAGCGAGTAAAACTCTAACACAATCCAAATGGACCAATCCACGGACCTCCGCACACACACACACACTCACTCAGAGCTCAGACCCAGCAACCGACACCAGTAATCCAGCTCACACTGGGTCCCGCCAATACGGCACCCAGACCCCATGCAGCTTTCTCATCTGTTTGTCATTACTGGTGTCATTTTCTGGTTGCTAAGAAACGCCATTGTAACACATAAACACTCATGTCCAGCTGTAATGGTGGTCGACTAATCAGAACAGAGTGGGCGAGCTGACCAATCAGAGCACAGTGGGCTCATAGGGAGGAGGGGGCAGGAGCTCCAACAAGCCGTTTAGGACATAGAGTGAATACACATACTATACAGAGATGCTGTATGAGAAACCAATGTGAGTTTGGAACATTGAACAATGTAAATCTATTCTAGTAGACCTCAACAATGGAATTATGATCAGTTGAAATGGCCATGACATGGGACCTTTAACACCTTTAGTTACTTTACAGATGTGGATGAATGATGTGAAATATAATCAAGTCTTAAATTAGACTTTAGTTCCACCCGGAGTAAATTCACAAGCTACCCTGCAGTATACAAAGTAACTAAATGTAATGTAATTTAATGGAAGTTAGTGATGCTAGCCGATGCTAACTTCACTCTATAGAAATCAGCTGACGACTAAGTCAGACTGACTAATAATATCATTTAGTATAGGTTTCCAATAGCTGTGTATGGGTTTACTTCTGAGTAAATATGGGTTGGCTCTTTACAAATGGGCTTCGTCTATACTCAATGACAAATATTTGTAGAATTTAAACTCCAACCAGAAACAGGTAGGCTGAGCTACATTTGAAGCTGATCTGTCAACACTTTGAATAACATCATACAGACATATTTAAAGCAGGGAATTAATTCACCATGATATTTGTGTAGTTTCTGAACTAATATGAGGAACTTTGAGCTAAGCTGATGTTTTTTTTTGATAGTTTAGTGGGAATGCTGTTAACAGCATTCCAACTAACTGTTATTCTATGCACTAAAAGTTTATTATTATTCCGCCGACTTATTTTGCCGCGCTTCTCCTCCCGCATTGAACATCACAGAAACTCCGTTCAAACATCAAAACGTTCAGCTCGGTCGGGAATCGATTGTTATTACTTTTCTCATTCATAACTTTCATAATTCCAGAGATACATCCCATATTACATCAAATTTATAACATTGAAGTCAATGGAGAAAATCCTCAGACTTCAACAAATCTTCATGCAATTCAACTGCTAACTGTTCATTCATACTTTCACTCAGAAACCTCATTCCAACTTTAAAATGTTACACATCTTTCTGACATTATTCGTGTAAAACAACGTTTAAATCTGATTCTTACTTTTAGAGATATTAAACATTGTTCAGACCTTGTTTTAGAGGTTTTCTTCACATTTTAACATTAACTAGAGTGTGTGATGTCACAGCTAGAGTGGAGGACAGCTTGAAATTCGCATTCATATATTTTTTTTAAACTGCCATAATTCCAAAACCCTACATTCCGGAGACATAATTTATCATGACAAACGTAGGAAAACATCTCGTAGCTTGAAAAATGACAAATAATTAAGCAAAATAATTAAACAAAATGCTTTTTGAGGGCATGAAGTGACAAAAACGTTCAACATTCCTCCATTAAACCCCATTGTAATTTCAGGCAGATATTTCCTCNTAAAATAGCTTTTGAAAATATGTGCATCTTAAAAGTGCTTAATTTTAGATAAACAAAATAAAGTGTAGCAGCAGCTTGAGTTTCCTTTTTTCTTTGTTAACCGTTTCACATCATGACTTAACAGTTTCAGACGATTATAGAACAATATCAGTCTTTACACATCATAACAATTGAACAGTTTTAAAGTTTCTCTTTCTCTCCCTCTTATATTGCAGTCCCTCACTCACTTTTTTTGTATTCAGTGCGAGAATTGAGTTTGAGCTTGTCCTGCCAGGAGTTTAAATCTGGGCTGAAATGGTGTCAGGGCCATTCTCATACACATGCAGGTGCTCATTGGTTAGCCTCGGTTAGCCTGCCCTGGAACGATATTTAGTTTTAGTTTTTATCATGGTGGACTGATCATATTGGGCTCTGAGACTGCTTATTTTGTGTGTACTCAGTTCTGACTTGAGAGAGAATGTTTGGTCAAACACTTTGTGTTTTGTCTCAAAGTGACGTTTTGGCACTTTTAATGAGCGCCACGGTCTCTGAACAAATGAGACACACTGGTACAGGCGTAATTCTGTCCTCCCGCTTACCTCATCATTTATGAGAAAACATTTCATAACATTAACACAACATATTCGAGGTGGTTTTAAAAAACATATCCGTATTTATTTATTTCTCCAAGTTATGTTTTCGTGTGCACTGAGGAGTCGCAACAGGCGTTTGTTTAATCATTTTAAGATTGGCTTGGATCAATGTTTGAAAAATGAATTCTTCATATATGATAAAAGAGAGGTAACATTTTATTTATGCTAGTATTTCCACATATTTCTCTCCATTCTCCTTCTGCCAATGGTGTGGCAGTTTCTCGTCTCTCCCGTTTTTGTGCTTAGTGCGTACGCATGGGTTAGAGTTTGCGTGGAGGACCGCACGTTTTTCCATCAAGTTAGTATTTTATAAATCGCAAACATTGCGTAGAAACTGGCGTACGCCATCTTTTGAGCGTATATCCCTTTATAAATGAGGCCCCTGATCAGTTTTTCACACTGGACTCACACACACAGATGTATTGTTTCACTGTAGCAGCTCAAACGGAATCATTGAGTGTGTTCTACTGTACCTTAATTAAAATAAACACACAAGAGAAATGTTTGTACCATGGGATCTACCCCACTTTAGATAAGACATTAATAACACCCTTTTTTCCTTCTGTCAACACGGATGCTGTAATTAAAAGCAGCGATGTACTCTGACTGAAGTGAAGATGGCCATGAAAAAAATAGAGGAAAGTTGAAAGAGGGGGGAAAGAGACCAAACGATAATTTAAAGGGGACCTATCATGCAAAATGCACTTTGTGATGTCTTTTATACAGGCGACGTCGCCTCTTAGCTCCGAAGCTCTTGCCTCTAGACCGACAATTTTTTGGAGCTGGAAGTGAACCGGATTCCGGAGCTAAGAGGCGGCGCCGCTGCGGTGTGAACAGGAAAAAAAGGTACTTTTCAGGCTCCAGCTCCGAGCCGTAGCTGAAAACGCGTTGGTGTGAAAGGGGCATGAGAGGACAAGGCAGCTGCTGCCTAAATTACTGGTGCATCAGATTCAAAATTAGAAAAAATATGTAGTGTATCAAGAGGAAAAGTGGCAAAATTATGTCAATGGACTGACAATGAACAATGGTCATCTTCATTAGGCTCACAAATAGTCATTGGAAGACATGATTTTCAACCTCAAAAATGGAAATAAATTGATCCAAGACCTTTCTTGACAGTCTTACCTGCATGGCTACAACAATTTAAGATTTAGTTTGCACTATTTTATAAACCCCCTGCATTTGTTCTGATACGGAACACATTTTCGAGCATTGAATTCATGAAATGAAACCCTAAAGATGGCGTGATAACGTACTTATAAACTCTTCAAGCACCCTGTTTGTAGACATTTCACCTGACCAGATCTCATAAATATACTCTTTATATCAACAGCATGTGAGTTATTATTATTACTGCATGAACAAACAGAGCAAAGCTTGATTCTCCACAGAAAATATAAAGGGTTATACTCACTTTCTTTTGCTCTGTTACAAAAACAAAATTCTGCCTCGTTTATTTTATCGACTATTGGCTGTCGATTGGATGGCGGTCAGAACAGTCAGCAAAATCAGCCATGGGATTGTATGTAGAGTTCCTGTTGTAATGATTGAGCTGCAGAATTATACAGGGTGTTAGTTCAGTTGGTGCTATCGAGACCAGGCTGGGAAACGTATAAAGGTACTAAAGAGGTACTTGTATTTAACTTCAGTATTTCCATTTTATGCTACATTGTACATTTTACTCCACTGCCTTTTAATGTGTCCTTTTAGGCAACTTTGCAGACTTTCAAATCTATCTGCCGATTATTTTCAGGTTATTCCCCCTCAATACATTTTATTTTTTTGGTTATAGTTTGGTCTATAAAATGTCCAAATATTTGTGAAAATGTTCCTTTTTTATTTCCTCAAAGGCCATGTTGATGTCTTTAAATGTCTGTTACATCAATCAAAAACCTAGGAAATGAAATAGAGAGAGAAGACATCTCTATATTTGAGAGCGTGAAAACAGCATTTTTTGCATTAAAGATAACCTTAGTGATCAATTGAGTTCACAAATAGTTGCCATATCATTTTCTGTCTATTGAATAATAGATTGCATCTCTAAAACACATTATTGCACCAATAAAATATAATCCAATTATATAAAATGCATTATTCTAAAATGGGCTACACTGTTAGAGTACTTTTACTCTTGGTACTTTATTTTATATTTTAGATAATAATCACTTATAATAATTGTCACTTATTATGCTCATTTATGCCAATTGACTGATAATAAATGAGCTGATACAGCACATTTTAAGTGTTGTTTACAGTCATTTGGCTAAACCGCTAAACCATTAATGTTTTACAAAAAATTGTAAATGGCTAGTTAATTTATTTATTTTACTTGCAAGTATAGTGGGGTTGGATATACAAATATGTAAATGATGATGGTTGGTGACTCCTAAAGTGGACAGAGTTCCATCCGCAGACTAAAAGTTATACATTTCCCACCCTGGACCTTTCAGCTCCTCTTTTATCCATGCAAAGCACAGAAGTCAAAGTCTGCGAAGGCTTCCTGCTGCTCAGCAGAGAGGATAAAGGGTTTGGCGGGAGGCGACAGGATTGGCTGGAGTTGAGTGAACTCGCTGTCAAAGTTTCCGACATCCATTGACTCTTTGATTGACGGCAGGAATGGTGGCTTGGCTGTCTTAGCCAGGAGGGCTTCCCAGTCGATGGTCTGAAAGACAAAGTTATATTTTCTTGTTGAATCAATATTAAATGCCGTGCACTCTTTTTTGTAATTTAGAACAAAATATAGCAGTAGTGGAAACATGTACTCAAACACTGTGCTTAAATTCCAGGTACGTACTGGAGTATTTCCATTTAATGCAGATTTAGACTTCTACACATTCCAGAGGCATATGTTTTACTCATGACTCCACTACATTTATCTGACAGTGAAAACAATATCTCCAGATGGGTTGATTAGCCTTTTTTTCTTAAAGGGGCCCTGTTATTCTCCTTTCAGGATTCATATGTATATATTGTGCCTCTACTGCAAACTGTTTCCACGCTTAAATGTTCAAAAAGCTCTTTATTGTTCTCATACTGCCTGTGCTGCAGCACCTCTTTTCACCCTCGTTCTGAAACCAGAGCCCAGTCTGCTCTGATTGGTTAGCTGGCCGGCACTCTAATGATTGGTCAACCGTTTAGAAATGTCCCGCCCCTTAACCTATCATTTACAATGTATTTCAAGTGCTAGCCAATAGAAGCGCACATGTTACGTAGTGATGTCACTATGTAACGGAAGTAGACAAAGGAGTCCAATGGAGGCGTTTCAGGCGGGGGGCGGGAGTGTCTGGGAGTGAAACTCTCTGGAGGGAACTTTGGGGATTTCAGCCTTTGCAGACCATTAACATGCACAGAAACCTATATACTGTATATACACACTACTACTTTTAGCTAAAGAAACTGTTTTAAAAGCCTTAAATTAAGAATCCTTCTAACACCCCTTTGGATTTGATTAAATACACAAAATGATTTATTTAAAGAGTACGTAAAGTTAAATAAAGGGATTTTACCTCAAAGAATTTCTCCCCTTTGACCTCATTTGCATCTCTCTCTCCAGCGCCGAGTCTTTTCAGAGGATTCCTCTTCAACAGCTACGGAAGGATGATCGAGTAATATAACATGATAGTTACAGCCATCTTAACCAAGGATCTCAAACGCTTAACATTTCTGCTATCAACATTAAACCTAAGGACCATGACAAGATAACTCGTTTTGTTGTCCTTGTTTTCTGCTGGTGGTACTGTTATCATCTTCTTTTATGTCTGTCTTATGTCTACAATTATACCAAAAGATGTTAAGCTGAACTAACAAAAACATTTAGTATGAAATTAAGCTTAAACTCCTCAAGTAATTGAAATAGAATCAGGGTTTATGTGAGCCTTAGATGAGAGGCTTTTACCTTCTTGATGATGCAGACCGCATCAGGAGGAAGAGACCCTGGATAATGCACATCATCATTGACGATGCTGTCGAACACCTCCTCCTCATCCTCACCAGGAAACGGAGACTAGCAGCAGGGCAGAGTAACACATTTAAAGGGGACATATAATACAGATTTTCAAGCTTATACTTGTATTTTGTGTTTCTACTAGAACATGTTTTTCTTTCTGAATACACCTGTATTCACCCACTGTCTGAAACGCTCTGTTTTAGCGTCTTTGTCTTTAAGGCTCACCATAAAAAAGGCCAGTCTGTTCTGGTGAAAAATATGGTACACCTTTATAAGGGTTGTTTTCAAACTGTTGGTGGAGATGCAGGGCAGTTTATTCTAATACACCTGCATGTGACAAAGGAAGGGGGACCCAATCCAAATGGCTTGTTGAATCCTTGTGGGGCACTACTTATACCAAAATGTATGAGCACAAGCACTGAAAGAGTGAAGAGTAAAAATCCCCTTTACCTACAGTCCATTTAGGAATTTGATAATTGATCATTTAAAGATAAATGGGTACAGTTGCAATGGATGTTAGAATTGTCATCAATGTTTTGAAAACTAACAGAAACTAATCGAAGAAACACAAAAACACGTATTAGCTACCTCTCCAACGAGCATCTCAAAGATCAGGACCCCCATCCCCCACCAGTCCACCGCCCGGGTGTAGTTGTCGTCTGTCAGGACCTCGGGAGCCAGAAACTCAGGAGTCCCACAGAAAGTGGAGGTCCGATCTCCGTGACCCATCCCTGTCGAAATAAGTAAAACACAATTATTACAACTATTTTACCCCAATTATTACAATTATTTTTAACAATCAAAATCATCCAGGAAAAATGTTAAAAGACCATAATCAATACTAACAAAGCACTTATATACTAATAAAGGACTGGCTTATCTAAAGCCAATTGAGTAGCACTTGAAATGTTTGGCTCTATGAAACCTGATGTACTTATATGATTCTGTTTTCTTCAAGGTTGTATCTTCCTGGTCGAATGCACTTATTGTAAGTCGCTTTGGATAAAAGCGTCAGCTAAATGCAATGTAATGTAATGTAATAATCTCATACAAACACACGACATAAGGCTTTCTGTAAACCTTTAAATTGTACTGAATAAATAGGCAAAAAGAAGAAAAAAAATACTGCAAAACAACAAAATGTTTTATAACATAGTTCTAAAAATATTATATTAAAAGTTAGATAAAAAAAAACTGTACCAAAAGTAAAAGCCCTCATTATGCGGCCCATTACTGCTGTATTCCAACTATTGATGCATTTAGCGATCAACTCACCTTCTTTACAAAGTCCGAAGTCTGTGATTTTCACAAACCCATCTGCATCCATCAACAGGTTATCCAGCTTCAGATCTCTGTGGAAAACACCCAGCGCATGTATAACCACGTCTGAAGCTACAGTACAATCAGGTGAAATCCCTTTATTCTGTATGACTTACCGATAGATGATTTTATTCAGGTGGAGAAACTCTAAACCCAGCAGGACACATGCGGAATAAAACCTGTAGACAACAACAAATACATTAACAGTATAATACTGAATACGAGCACACTTGCTGGACTTTCTTTCTATTTCTGGTGTTTTTTTTTAATGCATTTATAGAATTTCAAGTGTTGTCATGTTGCAGCTGATCAAAGCGGAGCTCATTTAATCCCTTTTTATACTGCCGGGCGGCTTCATTTTCTATAAGATATCATAATGTTTGAGTTGATTTGCATAAAATACTTTATACAATTACCTCAGAATAATGCCTAGTAAACATACTTAGTTATATTCCACCGCTGCATTACACAAACATATAGGAGGACAAACAGGAACCTGGTCTGGGCCTCGCTGAACACATCGTTGTGGATGTGGATCATGAGGTCTCCTCCAGGTAAATACTCCATGACGAAGCAGACGTGGTCGCTGGTCTGGAAGCAGCCATGGAGGTTCACCAGGAACGGATGTCTGGACGCGTTGATCATCTCAAAGATCCTCTTCTCGCTCATGAGGCTGCAGAATAACAACTCAGATTCAATACTCTAAACGTCATATATTCACGAGGCCTGTATAACAAATGACCATCTCTATACATTAGCTGAGTGTCTTCAATTTTGTTAGATTTTTTGTTGCTAAGTTTTAACTCGAAGTGAGTACTTTTACTGAGTTCTTAGTTACAATCTCCGAGATATCTGTTTTATGATCTTTGACTTATTTTGATATTTGCTGGTGTGTTTTTTGGAACTAACTTGCCAGGGATCCAAACAGTATTGGAACTAGTCTTTTTTTTTTTATGCTGCCAATACAAGGGCCTTTTCTCAATAATCCTACAGATTATTACTTTAAGTATAGCCTTGGTTTACTAGTCGGAAATTCACAAACAAATTAGTAAGAAGACACAAAAAATGCCCTTCAAACTTAAAGCCTGAGAAATACAATCAGCAAATTGTAGCTATTTGTTTAAACTCTGTCTTGTTTTAGCTTTAAACTATTTTAAATTACAGCAGACTTTTAATGTGTCTTTAATGGCTCTGCTAATTTCTTGAGAAACTCCCTCTAGCGTGAACTTTGGGATTTTATCCTTTGCAGAACATTTACATGCACAAAAACTATATAACACACGACCACAGGAAAGGGAAACCTCCAAAAAGCATAAAGGGCCCCTTTAAAGCTTTCCCTTCACACACCTCTCCACTTCATCTCGTGTCACAATGTCTCTTTTCTTCAAGGCTTTGATGGCATACAGTTTTCCTGTCTTCTTGAACTCTGCCAGCAGAACCTGAACAGAGAAGATTCACAACAAACAACTAAAGATGAACACCAGAAGAAGATCATTTAACAGTTTAAGTGAAAAGCGTTCAAACTTTTACCTTCCCAAAGTGTCCTCTGCCCAGAACTGAAAAGTATTTGAAATCATCCATCTGCATCCTTGTGAAAGAAGAGCCAAAATTCACTTAAAAGTAATTAGGATTTGTTTATAAATATGCGTGCGTTCGTTTGTGTGTGTTTACTTTAGAGCAGATACAGGCTGGTCTCCACTTTCTTCTTTGTTGTTTATGGAAGACTGCAAACAAACAGAGACAACGTTGGGAACATTTTATCATTCAGTCACCTCAACACATGACATCCTAACATCACCATGTCTACAAGAGCTTTCTTAATGATCCACTGCATTTGGTATTATAACTATGTTAAGGAGTGTTGCTTGACTCTCAATCGAGCTTGTGTTATGAAAGACTTTCTACTTTAAAGCTTCCGTTTGTGATGATCTTAGTTTTTGTGTTGAATGTTTCTGGTTTTATTTTTAAACGTATTATTCTCTTTGTGTCTTGTCTGGTTTTACTTCCTGTCTTTTTGTTTTCCAACCTGTGTGATTGTATGATTGTGTTCATCTTGTGTGTATATAGGCCTGTCTCCCCTTGTGTTTGTAGGTTTGTCGTCTTTGTTCCTGTCCGGTTCCCCGAGTACCTGCCTGTGTCTTCGGGGACATGAACACTGGTCCTGTGTTTGTTGACCTGCTGTTGGGGGAGTTTCTTGAAAATCCACACTCATTTAGACTCTAAAAGGTGCCTGGTGCGTCAGTATGAAGACGCTCTGGGACTGAGACCAACTGTATTTGAAGTAGTTAAAGCTATTTTTTTCCAGCTTCGTACCATGGCCAAAATCTATCTGTTTCTCTCTTCCAATAATCTTGAGAAAGTTATCCACGCCTTTATATCGTCCCGTCTAGGCGACTGCAACTCCCTATATACTGGGATCTGTCAGTCATCCCTGCAACTGGCCCAGGTATTTAACTGGTATTCAACTCTAACTTGTATTTATTTATTTGATGAAAGGTTGTCTTGGCCACCTGCTCTTTTATGTACAGCAGTTTGGTGAACGTGGTTTGTTTTTAAATGTGCTTTATAAATAAATGTGATTGATTGCTTGATTGCTTGATTGATTGATTGATTGATTGATTGATTGATATGTATAATATTGGAGGTCAAACACTTTAGTATTAAGCTACTGTCTTCATTGTTTTAAAATAAATTTTAAAAAACAGTGTACCAGATTTTCTTGCGAGGCAGGCACAGAGGATGTTTTGTGTGCTGTGGTGATGATGGCGGGGGGGTCTTCTCCCGGCTGGAGGCTGGTGGGAGACGGCTGATCCTCAGTGAGGCTGAGCCTGACTTCTGGAGACTCGCTGCGAGATACAAAGACATAAAAGATGTTGGCTCACACAGTTTGGGCAGAGATTTACACCCTACTAAGTGTGAGGTGATTCTGACCTTGGCAGTGGAGTGGTAGCTAGAGGCTTCTTCTCAGTTGGAGGGGGGGGGTTGTTGGCCACCAGGTCGGGGGGCGTATAGATGGACGAGCTGAAGGTGGTGAAGGAGCTGTAGCGAGGGAGGATGTTCATCATCAGGTGACCCCATGTGGCGAAATTCATGTTCATCTGGGCCGCTCTGAGGAAGTTCTTCCCTGAGGAAGAAAAGGTTGCCATGTTACACCAGAGGAACAGAAACACAGACGAAATCCTTTGAAAGTAAATTGTTGGATGCTTTAGGTATTTCCTCTGTACCTCTCTCTTTAGTGAAGATACATCTCTGACGCCTCAGCTTCGGCTGCCGCTCAACAACAGTGTCGATGAATTGAAGCTGAAAAAAGATAAAAGGAGAAGAATTATTTTGGACATTCACTTGTGTTATTGCTCAATTTCTCAACATCTTATATTCAAAATATATGCAAGTAAATGAATGCAGCTAATGCTGGGAGAGTTGTTCTTGTTATACTTTGGTTTGTTTGGTCAATTGGCTAGTGACCTCTCTTTGTTTTGAGTCATTAAAACATTATCTTTTTAATTTTGCTGATCAGTTTCTCCTTCTTTTCTCCCAGTTATTTAATCTTTTGCCCTTTCATCCCTAGACTAATAGGGAACGTAACAATATTAGTTTTTTGGAATCATTTATTTGCTATACTTCGAGTAACCCAGAATGTATATATTGCTGTACTTTTTGAGAATGTATTTAAAGGAAGGCACATATTAATGATGTAAAAAGCATCGTTTTTTCACCACATATTAGGATGTTGAGGCCTCTGATGTAGAGAGAAACAGGTTTTCAAATGTTTCCGAAAAGTACAATTGCTTTAGGATCCTTTTGTTTTGATGTGTACACCAGTAAAAGGCTCTATAGTCCAGTTGTCATTGTTTGCCTAAACAATTTCTCCATAATACACATTCCACTGAAATCACACTAGCCTCTAAATGTCACGATTCTCATGTTATGTCACGTTTATAGTTTTGTAGGTTTGGGTGTTTTTGCTGTTTTCCATGTCATGTTTTCCTTTGGGTTATTGTCTGGTCCTTTCCCTGTGTTTTCCTCTTGTCATTAGTTTCCCTGGTGTGTCTAATGGTCTGATTATGTTCACCTGGGCCCCTGTGTTTTCTCCTCCCTCCTCACCTGTGTCTTGTTGTGTGATTGAGTCTTGTGTGTATTTAAGTTCTGGGTTGTCTGTCTGTCTTGGTCGGTTCGTCTTGTTCCCTGACTAGTTCTGCGGTGAGTGTTCTGTTTGTCATTGTATAGAGATATCATAGCCTTGAAATAAAGGAAGTTTCAGTTTGTATCTGCATTTGGGTCCTGCTTGTTTCACAAACCGTGACACTCTGGTGATAAAATTCAGATCAGACCTCAGATGTTCTACTCGCTATTTTGTAAGGGGGAAATATGGTTGAGGGTAGGGAGTTACATTACATAATAAATCCCGTACACGTTAACTAAATCCCCACAATTTAGGGAAACATGTCCAGTTACAATAGCTTCAGCCTTTTATGCACCTTTGAATGTGTGTTCGTTACCACAACGCCTCCCCCACCCAACCACGTCCTTACGTAAACGTACCCTGACCCCGGAAAGGGTTTGGAACCAACATCTATTGACGCTTGGTCACCCTCCTACAACCAAACACTAATAGCTGCCGTGTTAAATGCAGGCACCCGGGTGCAGTGGGTCTCCACCCACAAACTGGCGGTCAGGTGCCCCTTGGCCCCCCGGAAGGACGCTAGCTGACTGACCACCACGTCTGCCTCTCCGCCGTGGTCTGAATTAGGGCGGACAATCTGCCCCTAACCTTGATGGGGGCAGAGGAGAGGTCAATATGCTCAAATAATTTTCCGTATTCTTGAGGATTTGGTGACACGAGAGGATTGGGTTTACTGCCACCCTCTTTTCCTCCGATGTGATCCCCCCGCCACCCTTCAAACCCTGAGATGGTGGGTCTGTCGAAGGGGCAAAAAGATGACTGACGGCCGGGGAAATAATGAAGGCAGCGTGTTGGACACAGTAAGCAGATGGCTGACCCAGCAGTTTCCACCATGGGAACGGGGCCTCCGAGGGTTTAGGGACCCTCGGCAGTGGGTACGTTCCGTGAAGGGTCTGATTGTGGTTGTGTGTTGTTGTGTGTTGGTGTTGGTGTGTTGTGTGTTGTGTGTGGTGGTGTGTGTGTGTTTGTGTGTGTGGTGTGTGTGTGTGTGTGTGTGTGTGTGGTGTGTGTGTGTGTGTGTGTGGTGTGTGTGTGTGTAGTCCAGGGAGTTTGGTGGGAAGGCTTTCCCTCTGATGTTTGTCAGACCTCCCAGAGAGGAGGGATTCAGTGGCTAAGGCGGGGGTCTCAGGAGCTCAGTGCCTAGTGTGTCTGTCTGGTGGTGTGTGTGTGTGTGTGTGTGTGTTGTGTGTGTGTGTGGTGTGTGTGTGTGTTGGTTGTGTGTGTGTGGTGTGTGGTGTGTTCTGTGGTCGTATGGTTTCAGGGGGATTTGAGGGAAGTTGATTATCCTTTTATCTGTTACTGCGGATGGACCAGGGAACGCCTGACCGGAGTCGGCCCGGGCATGGCCAAATCCACACACTCCAAAAGGATGGGTTCAGTTGTGTTGTGTGGTGTGTGTGTGTGTGTGTGTGTGTGTGTGGTGTGTGTGTGTGTGTGTGTGTGTGTTGTATGGTGTGTGTGTTTGGGATGGTCCCCCAAAGGTGCATTCAGAGAAGCAGGGCCTTTCTCCTGCGGCGGGGAAGCACATAGTTGGGAAAGGTCAAACACCCACATGGGGGGCAGTGAGCATCCTGGGCAAGGCGGACAGGAAGTCGCCATACCACACCAGAAGACAGGCACCTGTCGGTAAGGAAAGAGTACTGTGGTGTGTGTGTGTGTGTGTGGTTGTGTGGTGTTGTTGTGTTGTGGTGTGTGTGTGTGTTGTGTTGTGTGTGTTGTTGTGTGGTGTGTGTGTGTGTGTGTGTTTGTTGTGTGTGTGTGTGTGTGTGAGAAGAGCCTTAAAATATGATTAACATCAGATACTGTATGCATTAGGGCAGAACGTATACCAATTTCTTTTTTGTTTGTATAACTTTATGAACGTACTTTTTGTAAAGGACTTAGCTATTTTCACCACATCACTTTTTAGTGATATTCGCATACTTTGTCTTCGAAACATATGCTTAAACATTTCTCATCGATAATATTTGCCTTACCAATGGATACTGATATGATATTTTTAACTTAAAATATGCTGACCACTCCTCTAGTGACATAACGAGCTTGTACATGTACGAAATATCTGCCTATACTTGGGGAATGTCATAACTTCGAGCCCCATGACCAGGCAGATAACTTATCACATTTGAAAACGCATGGTAAGTATAAATTATATATTGCATTTAAAAGAACCACAATTAAAATGCAAAAGAAAAAGAACCCAATATGAGGGTGACAAGGCAAAATTACGAAGTATTGCCATATTTTATTTATTACATGTCCCACTTGTTAGACGCTTTTATCCAAAGGATTTACATACTCAATCCCCACAGAGCAAATTTGGGGTGAAGTGTCCTTCAGAGACCACAACGATATGCTGACTGAGGGGGTTTGAACCTGTGCTGCGCTGATCCGAACACCAACACACTATCCACTGCGCCGACATGCCTCCGCTTTATATTCACAAAGTCATCAAAAAAATACTATTTCAATACTTCACCTAACATTGCATATTATAGATACTGTGTAACTGAGAAGGTGTTCCACAGTTCGCTACGCATTTATAAACTAACTTTATTAAATACATTTCTATCTTTCGTTCTTCTTATACAAACACATCATCCGTTTAACCTATGCAGTCAGCGGACAGAAGGAAGACCATTCATTTGACACCTGGATGAGTGGACCTCATATATAATGTGAAGTGTTACCATAGGTGTGATGTGGTCGCTCTTAACGTATTCCACCACGTAGCTGTGCTTGCTGTAGCCATAGGAGAGTGGGGGGTGAGGGCGAGGTACACATGACAACGGTGGCAGGAAATGGTGTTAAAAGCCAAAGCGTCGTTTGTCGTTGTGTTTGCACAGCTGCGATCTTAAACTACCAACAGGAGTCGGTGTTGAGGACTATGGGTAGAAACTCAGATTGTTCCCTCTTCGTCACGACTCTCATCCTCCTCCTTTTTGGCAGGCGCTGCGGTGGATTTTTGAAAGCCTTCATTCGATCTGATGCATTTTGGACCTCAACCCCGGAAACCAGCATTCTACCCTGGTATGAGAACACACCAAAACACACACTTTGGTGAAAGAAAAACACACTCATCGGTTAAAACAGAGCGAAACACATCACCTCTTTGCTAAGTAGAAGTTTCACTCACCCCCCCCCCTCATCTTGTCCATGTCATCCCTTCAGCTACCCCAACTTTCACATCACCCATCAGTAAGTCCACACACACACACCACACACACACACACACACCACACACACACACCACACAACCACACACACACACACACACCACACACAACAACCACACACACCACACACACACACACACACACCTCCAACATCAGCGTCAGTTTGCTCCGGGACAGCCACATAAATGACATTCTTCGCACACACCTAACTCCTTTACCATCCCACATGTCAAGGATCACACGCACACCACCACACATCACACATCAGGTTATATATTTTTAGGCGAAGGAGAGTAAAGAGGGGAAGGGGGGGTGGTGGCAGCGGGAGGGGGTTGACAGCAGAGAAGAGGGAAGTACACAGGAAGTACATTATGTTATCACTCCCCATGTCTTCTCCACCTTTTCACTTCTTATCACGGCCCGATGTCTCAGACCCCAGCCTTAGCTGCTTATCCTCCTTTTTCTGTCTCCCCCCCTCTTCCTCACAACACGACGACTCTCTAAAAATGACTTCCGTGCTCCCATTTTAGTGGTCTGGGCCCTGGGATCTTAGATGACCACTTGGAATGTCCATTGATGCCGCAAGACAAATCTGGTGATGAATATTTTAAATGGAACATGTCTGGTCTTTTTTTAGTGGTGTATGAAAGAGTGAAAGAGTAAAAGGAGGAGGATTGTTGTGTTTGGAGGATATAGGACATGAGGACTTGAATATGTGTATATATATTATATAATGTGTATAATGTGATTACAAATATGAGTCAGATGGTGAGTCTGAATATGTGAAGGATTTATTTTCCCGGAAAAGAGAGGAGTTGACCAAGAATGCAGATATGGAATTGACTTTCACCTACGGAATAGCCTGAAGATGTATATAAATCTAATATAGAAAGATGATCACACCGTTGTTCCTAAAAATCTTTACTAATGACTTCATGTGTTCAATAGTAATCTTTTCTCAGGCACTGCCAGATCATTTTTAGGTTAGGGTACAATGAATCTCATTTATATAGCACAGATAATATATTTGTGAAGTTATAGTTATATCAGATTTCAGCATCTGTATAATATTGACGAGAATTCTTATTCGCTATTATACCGTACCATGAGTCTTCTTGAAGTGCAATTAAATTGCCTTCTATATAACAGCCTCTCTTTATGATTTCGCTTTGTGTGTTAGGTCTTCCTCTTTCTCTGATTTATATTTTGTTATTTAGTGTTTTTGATGCAGCTAAATATTGATTCTTATGTGACCATACTAGTCTTAACACTCACACTTTTAAGTTATTGGCTAGTGCCTCTACTATTATCATTTAATTTGTATGTGATTAGGGCTAAAGGTGGACGAGAAGTGACATTGCCTGACGACCATCCTCTGAGCAATCAAAACAGAGCTTGTGTCAGTAACTTTTTACCAATATCAGAGCAGACTCATATTCCTAAAAAAATGATCAAACTTCTATTTGGTGCTGAGGGGTATGATAAAAGTACGTATGTATGGATGATCATATTCTGACCATGTAGTTTGTATACAAAATCGTATTCTCGTTAATCCAATTATGTTAATAGATTATCCCATAATGGACAGATGATGGATATTTACTATCTAGTACATCTATCCAATTATATGTGTTTATCTTCCATTTCTGGCCCTGAAAACGTCTATAGCAACCATGACTTCATATTCTGACATCTTGTTCTGGTGAATGGTTTTAAGTATATAGTGATATCATAATGTTTAAAGGGTCTTTATTCTTGAAGTGATAATCCTATTTCCAATGTTGAAATAAAATTCTCAACTTTTTGGTTAGTGTTAATCTTGATGTGTTCTCAATAGTCTCATATCTCGATTTGCTTTTTGCAGTTGGTTTTATGCAGCTGGTTATTATATTATGCATATAATAATCAAAATATGTCCATACTGCACTGTTTTGGTGTGTTGTTATTTGGTGCATGTGTAGCTTACTACATGCATCTTGCACTAAGTCATGTTGTTTGTCTTGTTATCATGTGTAAGCGATTACTTAACGTTTGCTATTTTAATTGTCTTGTATATAAAGTACCTAGTTGCAGTAGTTCAGTATATTATTAGCTTACTTGTAAAGCAACTACTTACTAATATTTATATTGATTTTATTTTATGTGTTTATAAAATGTACTGTACTTGTAAAATTATTGT